GGGTGGCACCAGCATGTGAGCCGCGGGGCGCCCTCCCAGGCACCGGGACCCGGGAGGAGGGGGCGGGCACAAGTTCCCGGTTGGGTTGGGGGCCACCGCACGTCACCCTTCCCAGCTCTCCGAGCTCCCCGCGCTGCATCTGGGTGCCACCGAAATCGTCAGGGCAGAAAGGCGAGTCTGCCCGGCCAGGAAGTAGCCTTTGGGCCCCCCCCCCAGATCGGAAACCCCTGGTAGAACTGGTGCGGACTTGGGTCAGGCGTGGACAGGAGGACTTGAGGGCTTCCCCCAAACGCCGCTGCAGTCTCAGCTCCTTTCCTCCCTGAAAGGAAGGGGTAGCTTAAGGTGGGACCTTAAGGTGGCCAGAAGCTTCAGGGGGTCTGACTTCCGGGCTCCAGTCTGGAGAGCCAGAGACCCAGGAGGAATTAGGAGAAATGCCTAAGATGTGTGTGCCAAGGACCCCCGGGCCCCAGGCAAGGGAGACTGCACGACAGGCCAAATTTCCAAGGTCCAGGATATGTTAGTGAACATACTGTCTGCTGGGGACCAGCCCTAAGGATATCCTGATGGACTCTTTTCTGCACATCAGCATCAGTCTCAGGATGTTGTAAAATATCCTTCTGATGTCACTGGCCTTGGGTGTGGTCTTGCATCAGGTTTTTTCAGAGCTCCTGTGTGGTTCTGGTTTGCAGCCTGGGGTGAGAGGGCTGAGAACGCACTGGGAGGCTAGGAGAAGGAGTGACACTGTGGACACCGCTCCCCCAACATCTGTATCCATTCTGGTTCTCTCCCTAGGCTAGCAGGGGGCTCGGGCCCCAAGGTAATGCTGGGGCCCAGCTGTCCTTCCCCAGTGGGAAAGATGTTGGGGTCACCGGTCCAAAAGCCCACGCTGCACCGGTCCATCAGTACCAAGGTGCTGCTGGCAGAGGGTGACGATTCACCCTTCATGGAGCACTGCCGCCACTATGAGGACTCCTACCGGGTGAGGATGTCAGAACTTGAGGGCTGGGAAAGGCTCCTCCCCTTCTCCCTAAGGTGCACTGGCCAAATCTAGTCTTGGCCATGTGGCCTGGAAGCCATCCCTCTGCCGTCGCCCCTGCCATGCACACAGCCTGCAGGGAACAGACACTCGTGTCGTCTCTCCCCCCAGAGCCTGCAGATGGAGATGCAGAACCTGAAGGACCAGGTCCAGGAGTTGCACCGGGACCTCACCAAGCACCACTCGCTCATCAAGGCCGAGATCATGGGCGACATTCTGCACAAGTCCTTGCAGGTGGACGCCCAGATCACTGCGGAGTACGCGTCCGTGGAGGGGATGAGAGTCGTCTTCCAGGAGGTAGCCCCTCCCGAGGCACCTCCCTTCCCTGCACCCCATTTGTCAGCATATACATGGGCTACCCCAAGACAGGAACGGGAGCGGGGAGGACCTTGGCCTGGTGCCCTATGAGGCCCTCGTGTGGCAGGCTCTGGAACCTGGGTTTTGCCACTTGGAACCATGGGAACTGGCTGCAGGTGCCTGATGGCTCTGAGTAGCCAGAGGGCAGAAATGCCGCAGTGGGAATTCCAACTCACAGTCACATGCCGTGTCCGACTCACTTTCTCTTTCAGATTTGGGAGGAATCCTACCAGCGGGCGGCTAATGAGCAGGAGATTTATGAAGGTCCCAGGCAGCTGATGCTGGGTGCACCGCAGCCCTGGAGCTAAACCACATGCTTTCAGGGGCAGGAAGTCAGTTACCCACTAACCAGCCATGAACCCCCATGCTCTTCCCCTTAGCCCTTGCCTTTTCCTCACAGCTGCTAACGGACCCCAAAATTATACATCTGAGGTCAGGATTCAGTAAGTAGGATGCCTTCACAAGTCTCCCCTCACTCCTTACTTAGAGGTCACCACTGAAACAGTTAGGATGTCTAAATGGTTTGAGGCTTGAGAGCAAGCATTTGAGGCCAACAAGACCTAACTCTCTGGCCGTGGCCCCCACAGCCCAGCTCCGTGACCTTCTCCAGCTGAAACAGGAGAATGCCTACCTGACCACCATCACCAAGCAGATCACACCCTACGTCCACTCCATTGCCAAGGTGAAGGAGCGGCTGGAGCCCAGGTGAGACCAGCGGGTGTTCCAAGGGAGCCAGGACACTTCCAAATGTGTGTGGGGAAAGCGCCACACATTTGGAAGAGCCCCACTCAGGGAAGTCCGTGGGCCGGGTTGTGAACGTTTAAACAGGGCACCTGGGCAGGGCAGGTGCTGGCCATCTGCAAAAACACAGAATGAGTGGGCTGCTCTGAGTTCCCACTTCTGGGTGCACAATGACCCCCCTCTCCACACCTTGGGGGTGCAATGAGGGTCCTCAGCGGATCCAGGCAGCAGGACACAGAGGAAAGAGAACTTCCTCAGTGCACAGTTTAACCTAGTCTAGACAGGAACCTCGACCAGGCTCTCAGCACCACACTTGGGCACTGAAAGGTGCTACAGTGCCAGAGGTTTTTCGGTGGCAGGTCCTCAATGTGCTGTCTCTCAAGTCTCTGGGCCCCAGGGTGGGCTGGTTGCCCTGGAGGGCCGGCGCAGAGTGGTCAGCCTGCGCTCTCCCTCCGCCACGCTCCAGGGGACTCCACTTGCCTGGCTCTGGGCAGAGATCTGATTCCTCTATCCGGGTTTCCTCTCTCTCGGCTTGGTGGAGCCCATCCCCCAAGCAGCCCTTGAGAAAGGAGGGACTTGTTCTGAATAGCACACGTCTGCAATATCTTTATTTCGCCTTCACACTTGACTGATAGTTTTGCTGCATGTTGAATTCCAGATGGAAATTCTTGATTGGAGATGATTCTCTTCCTTGAGAAGTTTGAAGGCACTCCGATTCTTAATCCTTGCACTGTGACCTACTAATTCTCCGTAGAAGCTTGTGGAATCTTCTCTGCTCCCAGTGTTCTGAAATTTCACATTGGTGAGGGTCTAGTTCCATCCACTGGATACTGGTGGGCCCTTTCAGTCTGGAAATTCATGTCCTTCATTTTGGGCGTATTTCTTTTTGAACTGGTCAGTTGCTTTTCTCCACTTGCGGAATTCTCATTGGACACGGGCCTCCCTGAGCTGGCACTCTGACTTACCCTCCCCTTCCAGGCCTGTTTTCCATCTCTTTGCTGTTTTTTCCGGGAGATTTCCTCACTTATCTTCTAACTCTTCTATTCATTTCTTCATTTTTGAAGAAAACTTCCAAGAGCTCTTTTAAACATTTTAAACTATAGGCATCTTTGTGCCCTCTTCTTGTTACACAGCGTCTTGTTGTTTCACGGACGCCCCTCGGGGGCTGATAGGTGTCTGCTTTCTCCCCCCCCACCCTAGTGGTGGTGGTTTTTGTTTTGTTTTTTAATGGAGGGACTGGGGATTGAACCCAGGACCTCGTGCGTGCTAAGCACACAGTCTACCACTGAGCTATGTCCCCAACCGCCTCTGCTTTTATTTTTTTAAGTTTCCTTCTCCCTGAGGTCTATTTCCTCCAAGTTATGTTTTGTTTGTTTATGTTTCTATCTTCCATGTTAAAGGCTTTTGTCAGATGGTCAGGAAATCTTTGATTACGTGCTCATGTTAGGAGTTGGGGCTAGGGTGGGGTTGTGTAGGGCAGGATGGACGCTCTGAGCCCATGGGTGGTGTTTCAGTGTAAGGGATCTGTGTGGTCAGAGTTTTTTATTTTGCTTTTCTCTTTTTTTTTTCAATGCCTCAATGTCAGTTTTAGATCTCTTCCCGGTTTCCTTCCTGGAAGCATCTGTACGCACACCTGGAGCATCTGTATGCACACCTGGTTTTCTGGTTCTCACCTGTGTGCTGTACCCTCCAGAGACTAACGCTGCAGACTTCTGAGGGGTGTGGGGCCAGCATGCTCAGAGGCAGGGATCTTGACCTTCATCGTCCTATTTCAATCCCACTCAGTCCTGCAGAGGCAACGGGGCTGCCCATTCCTGAGCCCCCTAAGGATTCTGGTGGGAATTGGCCTCAGCTTGCTCTGTGCACTTTGAATTCAGGCTTCCCGGGTCTGCTAACTCAGTGACCACTTGTCCAGTTGCTCTCCAGCCTCCAAAATTTTGGTGTTAGCCTTTCCTGCCCTCAACCTGGAGAGGCTTTTCTTTTACCCCCTCGTTTTGGTCCCTTTACTAGTTTTAGTGAGTTTGGGGAAGAAGGAGAATTAGGGTGTGTGTGTGTGTGTGTGTGTGTGTGTGTACAATTGCCACATTAATCCAAAACTGTCAAACCTCCTTTTAAGTGACTATTTTAACATGTCACACTGAGAAGTTCCACTCCTCATACCTTCTGCACAAATTCTGATCAATCTTTGTCTATCCAGGACTAGTTACGCTGTTTCCTCCCAAGCTGACATTCAAAGCAGTTTACTCTAGATACTGTGTGATTCCATTTATAAAACCTCAAAACCAAGCGAACTAACGTCTCATGTTAGCATTTGGGATGGTGATTATCCTGGAGGGCCTCTGGGTGGAGGTGACGTCCTGTGTGCCCAGACTAAGCCGTGCCCTTATCATTTGTGCCCTTTCCCTCCTGTGTGCTCTGCTTTGTGAGCAGCTGGCTTCCAGTAGTGTGCTCCTGTCCGCCCACAAAGGGCAACACCTGGGGGAGTCACGTCTCTGTGGGGAAATGGCATCTGTGGTCAGTTTCAGCAACTGGAAAGGCGCTCGGGCTGGAGCCAAGCTCCTGGAGGTTTGGGGTGAGCAGGGAGGCTGCCTCCAGCCCTCTTCCTGGCACCACTTCCTAGGTGTCTGGAGTTGCCCTCTGCTTCCTCCCCTCCCACTGCTGGCCACGCCCCCCGCCCACCAAGAATCCACTCATCAGTGACCTTTCCATCCCTTGGCCTCAGAGGAGCAGCACTGAGGAGCCTAGACCGTCCATCACCTTCACCGTGCTCTGCTCTTGCTTCAGAGACCCTCCACACTCCGTTTCCCTCCTGCCTCCCCAGCTGTTCCTTCAGCCCCTTTGGCTTGGCTCTGCCTCCTTGGCTCAAGGCCCAGATGTCAGTTCTCCCCAGGGCTCAGCCCCAGGCATACTCCTCCCTCTGCACCCTCTCCTTCAGGGGCTTCACCCGGTCTCCTGGCTTTAAAACCCCTGTGGTGGTGCAGACGACCCCCAGTCCCTGTCCCCAGTACGGACCCACCCAAGCTCCAGACTCATCTCCAAGTGTCCCTTCCTGGGAGGGGCTGTCTCTGCTTAGACGGGTACCTCAAGTCCTACAATGGCCCCAGGACTCAATTTCCTCCCCTGGAACATGGTCCTCCTGTTTCATCTCAGTAAATGCACCAGTCACCCAGATGCTCCTGGAAAAAGCCGGGGAGACATCTGGATTCCTTTCCTCACCCCTCTTCCAACCCATCCCCAGATCCCGCTGGCTCCACTGTCTCACCCACCTGCTTTGTCTCCACTGCAGCCCCCAATCCAAGCCACTGTCGTCAGCCCCAGCCCCGGCCCCTCCAGCACGTCACATAGCCTATTGTGCTGGGCCCCGATAGCCTTTCCGGGACCCTCTCCACACCCCGGTCACCACGGCCTGTCAGTCCCCGGAGAAGCTGGGCTTGCTCTACTCCCAGCCTCTGCAGGAAGGGTTCTTGCTCCAGGTGGTTCCACGGATGCTCGTCACTCAGGTCGCAGCTTGAATGTCGACAGGCAGGCCTCCCCAGACCACCCTGGTGAAAGCAGGCCTCGCTTGCTGTCACCATCCGGCTCCATGTGTCCTTCCCAGCCTTGGCGTGTCTCCGCGACTGGAACGCAGCTTCCGCGGGGCCAGGGCCTGGCCTCCCCCATCCACTGCCATGGCCCTCGCCCACAGCAAATATCTGAGGCCCAGAGCTCGAGGCAGGCCCTTGAGTGTTAGCACAAGGCTGTGCAGTGAGCTTAGGGGCACGCGGCGGGCCACCTCTCCCACCGCCCCGGTTCCCAGTAACTGCTGTCTCTCGCCCAGGTTTCAGGCACCCGTGGATGAACAGTCGGACCACCTCCAAAACACGTATGACGACGGCGTGAATGGCGAGGCCCAGGCCAGGTGGAGCAAGTCTTCCCACAGCAAACAACTTCATCTCAGGGACACACACAACGACAAAGACAGAGCCCAGCTCTGCGGCCTCGGCAGGGCCTCAGTTTGTAAAACACGGGGTCGGAGGGGCTCTTAATCTACACAGTGCCTTCAAACATGTGACCTGGTAGATGACACATGTGGCTGATAGACCTGACCCACGTTTTATAACTTGGGGTGGCTGTGTCTGCCGGCCGCCCCGCTCACACCACTGAGCACGCAGGCTGTCACCCCGCGTCACTCAAACCCCCTTACGTGAGAAAAAGTGACTGAGGGTTATTTATTTGTGTGAGAGCGTTACTATTCACTGGAGCCACAGTGTTTGCCAAAACACTTGCCAGGGGGAGAGAAGAATGTGCGGTAACAGACATGTCACCGTCACAGGCTCATCTTTCAGTGTTGCACTCTCAGTAAAGTGTTAGTCACGGGTTGGAGAACAGAGTTGTAGAAAGCCGCAGCTAGGAGAGCCTCGGGGTGCGGGGAGGTCTGCAGCCATAGAGAGCCACAGCGTGCTTGGTGACAGAGCAGAAACTTGTCCCACCCTCCCAAGCACCTCTTTTAGCCCAGATGCTTCAAGGGAGGGTCGATTCAAAGCACTGTCACCACGAGCTAAGAGACCAAACTGCTGCTGCTTTGGCAACTGAACATCATCAGAGGGGGGAGGGTATAGCTCAAGCGGTAGAGCACATGCTTAGCATGCACAAGGTCCTGGGTTCAATCCCCAGTACCTCCTCTAAAAAATAAACCCCCACCAAAAATTTTTTTTAAAAAATTAGAAATGAGATAATACTTTAGGAGACAATGTAGTTCTGGTTCAGAAGATATGCTCATCTACCGGTGCCTTCCAGAAGGGCTGGCTGTTCCGAAAGCCCTTGCCCGAGTGGACTTCAGCACTGGGATGCAGCGAGGTGGGGGGAGCAGACAGAAACTCACGTTAAGTTTGTTTCTTTAGGAATGATCCAGTAAGTGTCTTGGAAAAGAGAGAGAAGACCTCAGAGCCTAAAGGGAACAGCCGGGCTCTGAGCAGCCTCACAGATGAGCCTTCACTGAAAAACAAAGATTCTCATAGACCCAAACCAAAAAATGGGGGTGACATCCCCACGCGGAGAGAGCGCCCAGCCTAGCAACTGGGACTGGTCCCTGGTGGTCGGGCTTTTTACAAAGGCTGGGAAATTGAAGGCAAGGTGGTTCCCATCATTTTTTTCAAAGGTGTACTTATGTATCAGCAGTAAACCCCAGAAACTTTGCCAGGTCCTAATTTCAGATTCTTTGGCTTAGTCTAGACTTCAAGTTGCTCAAAGTCGTGGTCCTCATGATGGTTACTTGGGACAGTGTCCCTCCCAGTCCATCTGGAAAATGTTAAATGTGTGAACACCCAGCCTCAGGCCCCTCGTTCACTCTGCATCTCCCTGGCGTCTGCGGGCTGGGCCCCTCAAGCTTCCGTTGGGGTGCACCTGTCTGAAATTTAGACAAGGAGACTGTCCCACTGTGCAGCAGCTGCCCTGCCTCAGAGGAATCCAGTTCCTCCAAAATCACAGCCCCGCTGTTAACCGGGAGCTGCTGGAAAGTTCCACCCAGTAATCTGAGCACTGACTCAGCAAAAGGGAGAAACCTTCACTCCAGCTGAGCTCATGAAGCAAAGCAATAGCACCTGGCGGCCTGCAGCCTGCGGCCTGCGGCCTGCGTGGCAGGAGGCAGCCACCATCATGGCTTCCCTGCTACCTATTCCGACCCCGATCGCTCTCCTGCTGTTCGCCCTTTATTGCTATTAAAGCACAATTCACCAGCAACTTTGCTCAAGTTTTCCATCCCTACCCAAGTACCCTTTTTATCAAGTGGAACTTAAAATGCTTAACAACAAAAAAATTAACCTCCATGATCTAAACTGTAAAGTTTTAGAGGCAAAATGATGCCCAGATAGTCACATTTTAAGCAGGTATTGGCTAGATTCAGTGGTTCCAGCAGCGGATGGCTTCTACGAGCCAGGTAGGCCCGCAGGTCAATACACTGGGACCTCAGTTACATAGGTATCTCTACACCTGTCACATCAGAGCCCTGACGCTCCAGTCCCAAAGCATCACAAACCTCCCACGGTGGCCCAGGGGGCAGGAGGAACTTGTCATGACAAACTGGTTACAGGTAGGAGTTCAGAACAGAATCAAGTAGGCAAAACACATCTGGTTTTATGCTGTAGGTTCGGGACGTTTCTTAGCCAGAAGCAGCAAGATCCTAGGGTTTCCAAATCCCCCACAACCACACTGTTGTTCATAGTGAAATCAAGTACAGTTTTATTTAAGAATCGGAAATAATCAGTATCTGTCAAAGAAAATCCAGTATTTAAATAAACATTTCTGCATGTAAAGAGTAGAATAATTACTCTGTTAAGTTACTCTCCTAACTACGGGACAGGTCCTTGGGAGGGAGCGCTTGCCGCCACACCTGACTGGCCGGTCTTCGGAGCCCAGGACGCGGCATCGAGCTTTCACAGCGGGGCGCAGGCAGCCAGCCTCTCCCACCACGCTGGACAGGCCGGGGTCGCCGGACCTCGCCAAGTCACTACAGGAGCAGACGCGGTGCAAAAGCACAACTATCTAAGGCAGGAAGAAAGTGCAGAGAAGGGACAGTGGCACACTGTACCCATTACGGAGGGACTGCGACCAAGAGGAGCCATGCCTGGGCCCGACCGAACCGAATCTATTAGCAAAACCCCTTGGCTGAGGGACACCCCTGCTATCGTGTCAATCACCCAGAGAGCTGAATAAATGGAAGGAAGAACAGAGTTTACTTTTTAGGCTTAAGAAGCAGTTTATGGCCATGAAGTGGTGGTGGGGTCTTGCCGCCTCCGCTTTCTGCCAGGCTGGCCCCACGACCTCTTCCATAAACCGTAAACTGCCATTCTCAGCCCCAGCCTACAAATCCTCATAAGATGCTTCATCTTATGCTGCTTCAAAGTCGCTTTGTTCTGTTCAGTGCCTATTTTCCATCTCAGAATCTCTGCTGTAAAACCTGCAAAGGAAAAAGAACTCTCTTGACAGTTTTTTAATTTGAGGGAACTGGCGATGCAGCCTCTACCCAAAAAAAGCTTTCGGAAATACCCAAAAAGCCTGTACCTCATTAACCTGATTCTCAGCCGCATGCACTGTCACTGCTAAATTTATCAAGTTAAAAATACTGCGAAGACCTCAGTGCTGGATGAAAGTCAATCACTTGCCGAATCCTGCCCCGAAGTAGTTCACGTGTTATCCAACCGAGTCAGTGCTGACCTCCCCCCGGGTGACAAACCAGGCTCTAGAGCCGCTCTTTAAAGCACATCAAGTCCAAGTGGTGCACGGGTCTCACTGCCAATGCGAGGGCCTGCGTGGCTGGGGGAGGAGGGACACAGACCAACACCTTCCATCTCACCGTCCACAACGCCGGAGGCGCCACCAGCTGCTCTCCACCTGGTAGAGAGAGGACCTCGTGGCCCTCAGTGGTCATGAACGCTGGGTCCAATCCTGCTAAATGTAGTGACACAGAACTTTCCCTCAAAGAGCTGGGGACAGTCGCCTAAACCCAAGGCATACCCTCTCCATTTTGCAATCCTACGTGGGGTTCACTTCGCTATGCAGTCTGGAGAACAAGTTTAGAATTGACTCGAGTCTCCAGACAGAGGAAGTGCATGCTGACATATGAGGATGAGGAACCAGCCGCCAAGGCTCCAGCAGCCACCCAGGCCAGTCTGCCCACAAGACCCCAGAGAGGGTCGAGGGTCAAGTCTGTCTAGTCCTCACACCAGCAGGGGCCATACCAGTCACCAACGAACCCGTAAACCTCTTTGGTATACATAATAATGAAAAAATTAATTAGGCCATGAAATCTAGAAATGAGTAATAGTCCGAGTTGGTAAAATGCTTTTTTGAACACACATTTCCAGTGTCTGGTACAGCGAATCACGTGCTGTCCTTTTTCTGTGTGACTCGTGCAGTACTGGTTTCATTTCTGCCATCTCTCACCTCAGTATTAAAAATGCTTGACATTGTTCTTCTAAGTCTTTACGACACCCCTGTGAGGTAGGTGGTACTGACCCCCTTTGACAGAGCAGGGGGTCTAGGCACAGAAAGGTTTAGTGGCTCCTAGAAAGCCATGTGGCGCAGTGTGGCAGGACCGCGTGACAGCCTGGGGCTGACACCGCCTCAGAGTCATGCCCCACGGGGGCCACTGTGGAACGACAGCACGGAAGGGCTTCACGCTGACACCAAGTTCCTCTCTGGTCCAGAATCCAACAAGGGTCTCAAAGCTTACACGTCTGACGTGCAAAGCCAACCACTCTCCCCGAACCTGACAAAGTACTGACTACATCTCTATTTTTCTCATGAGTTGACTTGCTTAAATTTCGTGGTTGTGTATATACTCAAGCCCCTCTGGGAAAGACGGTTTGAAACGGCATTAGGGACGATGGCATTTTGAGAACAGAACAGAGAAATCGATGGTTAATACGTTTAAGTTGAAACGCAAAAACACAAGCCATGGTAACATAAGAAGAAACCCCAGGTAGACAGAGAGCAGCACTTCTCCATGTTTAACAGGGCCTTGCACAGAGCAGGCATCCAGGAGGCATTTCTTGGATAAAGAAGAAATGACACATCTGTGACATGCCTGTCACTGGGGACAGCCCCCTCCTAGTGGAGAGCAGGAGCCAGGGCCCCAGAGACGCCACGGGAGACCCCTGGCCTGGGGGACCCTGGTAACGCGCAGCCTCGGTCGAGTCATCTGGGGGCATCCACGCTGCCTTTCTGCCAAACTTTAAAAGGTGGGGCTCACACACCAACCAAGTCCCCTTTGAGTTCATACTGCTATTTTAAAAAAATAGATCTGTAAATACAATGGGATCTATGAAGAGCCAAAGTGCCTTGTAAGGAAGTGTCTTTAAAATCGTATAGATGCTCATGCACTTAAGGAGAGAAAGGAGGTTGAAGCTGTGCTGTTTGTTTTTCGGTTAAAGTAAGGATTCTGAATGTGTCTCTAACGCTAAGAAGCACTGATGCCCGTGCACCCCTTCCTGCTGCAGGAGCCTCACACCGCTCCCAGGGGCCTGGTCACAGGTTAGCATGGCGGGTCTTGCGGGGCGGAGTGCGGCCTGGGCTCGCCCCGGGCGTGTCTGGAGGGCGCTGCTGAGTATTGCTGCTATTTCCTCCTTGTCCATCTCTCATCTCCGTCCTGCCTTGATGCAGCCCAAGAACAGGCTGCTCCAGGGTGGTGGGGAGGGGGGAGGGGGTCCTTTGGTCCTAAGGCCTTCTGACCACTTGGTCTTGAGTGAAATTCCAGAACAGTAACTGGTGACATAGAAAATGATTAAGAAAATCTACTCTGCAGAGTGGCCGACAGGAGGCAGCTCTGTCCAGGCCACGCAGAGTCAGGGGCCCCTCGGCCCCACCCGGACCGCCCCCGGCATGTCATAGCTCCACCTTGACCCCCTTTATAAAAGGCAGGCCCGTGGGCACTCGCTTCTTATACTCCAGGTACTCCTCTCCAAAAAAGTGAATCAGTGAGATTTCCTCCTCTTCTGTCCGGTCGCGGAAGAATCGCCACACGGTCAGAGCGTAGCTCACGCCGCAGATGGGGTTACACAGCATGACCTGTCGGAGGAACACGAGGTTAGGGGGTCCAGGTCAGTGTGATTCGATTCCGTGAACTTTAGCGGCCTCTGTGGCTCTCCCACACGCACAGGGAAAGTGCCTGACAGACTCTCCAAATGCTACCTCTGAGCGCCAGGGCCAGGGCGCCACTAACCAAAATCACATCATCACTTTCACAACAGAACTAAACATTCATCACCATTTCTTTTTTTTCCATATGCTTTTCTGTTGTTCTTCTTACCTGATACCTAAACATTAAAAAGAAAGATCAACCTCTTGGATTTCAACCCTCAGGTAGGGGTGACAGCAACTCCTCCCCCACCTCAGTGTATGAATCCCCAATTCCATGCACCACCGCCTTCCCGAGGGGCTCCCAGCACATTCCTTCCTGTCCTGGCCACATACACCCTGACGCGCTCCCTCCAACCCCACAGCTGCCCGGCCCCCACAGGCTCCCGTGTACTCAACACACTGCTACCCAGCTGAGCTGCCCAAACCACTTCTTTCATCAGCTTGCGCCCCTGCTCCACCAAGGCCTAAACCACATCTCCCCAGGATGGCTTTGGAACCCGGGCAAGCAGCTCCTTGGCCCACTTCCTCTGCGCAGCTCAGGGAGCCCACTGACCACAACCCCCCAACTCCGGTGGACCCTTTCGGGACGCATGTCTTCCCCAGGTGGGTGATTCCGCTGAGAGGGCCAGGCACATGCCCCTCCTTCTCATTCTCACCAGTTTACTGAGCGCCTGTTGTGTTCCCAACACACGCCAAGCTCATCACGACCACCACCAAGCCATTCAACCCCCAGAGCAAGCCTGCGGGAGCACCGCTGTCCCCACTGAACTCATGAGGGGAGGGAGGCCAGTCGGTGAGTGTCAGAGCCAGGACGGGCCCAGCCAGTGACCCCAGAGCCTGAGCCGTCACGGCTGGCAGACACGGGCAGTTTCCAGCGTGCCCTGTAGCGGGCTTTCCCAATCTCAGGCCACAACCTGTTACGGAGCCATGGAATCAATTCAGTGCACCATAAACAGCTTTACAAATAACAGTAAGATAGAAAACAGAGTGCTGTGTACACAGTAAGGGTAAATGTCTGTTCCAGGAAAGATTTATTCCGTTTTTATACAAACGTGTGTGCTGGGTCATGGTGTAAAAAGATCTATGGTCCAAGAGGTATGAAA